ATTCTTACAGTACATATAAACAATTCTTTTATTTGTTACGGAGCATTTTATGATCAGTTTTAAAGTATCAACTTCATGAAACCAAAGACGTCACTCCTGCTACTTTTTCAGTGCTTTTCCATCGCAGAGTTACTGTCTTCAAGGGACACTAGTTACCTTATACTGGAAAACTATTTATTTTTTATACAATTTAAAACGTTTTGGCATATGTTGAAACAATGAGTTTTCAACGTCACTGATTACGCAAACGGAAGCTTGTTAATAGGTCCTTTTAGTTAACTGGGATTCGCAAGGCGTGATGGCTGCGATAAGCTGAAAAAGATGGGTTTGCGCTACATCTTGTACGAAGAAAACTAAAAGCGGTCTAATCCGCCACTCAGTGGCGGAATGGGTAGTATGTTTGCGTTCTACCCGTAAGGTCCAGGGTTTGATCCTCAGTTTGGTCGAGATGAGATCCGGGTCGGGTCAAAACACCTAACTGTTCAGTTCACCCTTCTTTTGCTCCTTACATTACGAAATTCATCATATGATCATATGATCCTCCATCACTTTCATGTAAAATGAAAATATAGTAGCGTTATCCATTTACAGTTACTTTCATTGTATGCGGATACATACTTGAGTTTGTTCTGTCGGTGATATTTACTTTGGGAAATCGTTACGAGACACAAGTAGTCTTTCTCAGTGCGGTCATTTGAGTATGATGCCCCGAGGAACAGTGGTGGGTAAAAATAGTATTTTGTCGGTTTTTCAGTTGCAAAATCTTGGGAAAATCTTTAGTAGATATTTGTACATTTTAAGGTGTCGGGGTTTATATTAAATTTCACACTTGTCTGAGGCCAGACTCTGTGCCAAGCAAATCACGGTACAATAATCTTCATGATAAAGAAAACATTCCATGATCTGCACGTGGGCTAAAACTGCCAGGTTGCCCAGGCCAAGACAGGTGAACTTTCTTGAGAAATTCATAACCGAAGCCTTCGGTTTACCAAAGCCTGACCCGCAAGGCAGAGCGGGGCGGTGCGCGAAAATCGCAGTCCATTAAGGGTCGGTGTCTGGTTCATTGGATCACACGCCCTTCGGACGGGGTCAAAAGTCCAAGGTGCCCAATACACCACGATGTTCAATTGAGCCGGTGACCATTGCCACAACCGAAAAAAGGTGGGTATGGTTCGTACGCCTCTTCTTGGTTGGTTTGGAATCAGGGTTTTTGGTCGAATCCCCTGGGTGAACCACCAGTGGTCCACCAACCCGGTTATAGCCCCAGATGTCGGCCATTCGTCCTCTCACTTTGGTGGGAGAAAAAAACACCTCCGTCATGAGAAGGCGGTGAGTAGGGTTTTCTCAGCAGAGGCTATTTGAGACGCTTGGTCTTATGGGAGCATTTCGCGAGGTGACCAGGCGCAACCCTAGACACCCATCCTCGACCATACTGAGGCTTTCGGAGGCTTTTGTTTAGCAATGTATTATCTCTGGGGGACACTGGATTCACAGTACTGTAATTTTCTAACCGACAACTCAGGTCTGGATTTGTTACCCATACGCGTGATATATAAAAATGAAAATTTTTAATTTGCACGACGATCTGATTGATTTAATAGACTGATTCCGTTTTTAGACAGAGCAACATACCAAAAGGCAAACCTGGTAGATGTTTGGTGAACATCAGGACCTCTAGTTCAAGCCGCCGAAACCAGTGTAACATTGGGCATTGGAGCAGTTGCAATCTGATTTAAATGCAGTAATAACACTCAGCTATATGAGTGAAACCGTTTGAACAAAGTGTCCTTCAGGATATAGTCATTCGATTCCACAAATTCTAAAGGATATACTTGGCAGATGTAAAAGGAAAATAGAAAAATGAACGTGGTGAACTCCGCCTAATGGAAGCTTGCGTGCAATAATTTCCTAATGCATCTACTGGCAAAGGTTTGGTGTCATACGTCAGTTGAATCGGGAGCAAATCAAGAACTGCTGTCACAAAACAGAAAACACTTCTGATAAAACTTTTGAAATGTTAACAGTGTTAAATCAAATGGATTTGGAGTACGTTGGAATCACCCTATAGATCACTATAGAATGCAGGAAACGATAAACTCCAGAGGCAGACCGAATGTTTTGGTGTTCCAAAATTCTACAACTTTGTTATCTGTGACGAGAACACTTTCAAACCCAATCCTTTTGGTTATTCGTTTTAAGCGCACATTAATAAATCTCA